AATGAGGGGGAGTGGAGAGTGGAGACCCAAAGCCCATTTGTAAGTAACGGGACACGCTCTTAGTGTTTTTTAAGCTTACTTCAGTGGATTCATGTTGTACTTGTCTTACTTCGCCAGCATAATTTCCTCCAACTCTTCCCATGAGACGATGTGCTTCAGGTGTTCATCACTGCTTTTAGGGATGTGTAGTACTCCATTGTATGTATATAGTAGAGTTTTTTTAATCCGTTCATCCGTTGATGGAAATTTAGGCTGTTTCCAACTCTTTGCCATTGTGAACTGTGCTGGGATGAACATTGGAGCACAGATGTGTGGTCATGGCCTGTTTCTTACTTCTTCTGGGTATATGCCCAGTTGGAAGATTGTTGGGTCATGTAGTAGTTCGATTTCCATTTGTTTTAGGTATCACCATATCAATTTCCATATGGCTGCACATACCTACAGAACTACCAGCATGGATGAGAGTTCCTATCTCACTACACCCCCTCCAACACTTGCTGCTTTTTTATTTTTTGAATTGAGCTATATTTGTGGGTGTTAGTTGGTATCTCATAGTTCTTTTAATTTTCATTTCTCTTATGGCTAAAGATCAGGAACATTTTCTCATAGGTTCGTTGGCCATTTGGATGCTACACAGAGTTTTTGAATGATCTATCAGAATCCGATGTAATGGGCCACTCTCCTGAGGCACCTCTGGCTGGGTTTCAACCACTAACTTTCCAGTTACTAGTTGAACACTTAACTGATGTGCCTCCTCCCCAAAACCGAAAGCCAAACCTACTTCCAGAGAGTTGATTCCCACTTACAGCGAACCTGTCATGCCGAGTAGAATTGCTCTCTAGGGTTTTCAACACCGTAATTCTTTACAGGAGTAGAAAGCCTCTTCTTCCTCCCGTGTTTTGAGATTGCAGCCATCCACCTTGTCGTTAGTAACAATGCTTAACCCACTGTGCCACCAGAGCTTCCTACCCCACCCCACCCCAGGATTCTTTTTCAAAGCAAAGTGTCCAAGTATTTCTAGAATTTCATGCCCATATAACAACCCATTTCAAAGTTGAAACCAGAACTTTTTCTTAATTGCGCTCACCTTTTTAAGGTCTGAATTTCAGCAAAATGCAGTAGTATTTTGAAACCACTATCACAATATTGCCCCAAATTTTATTTTTGTTATTACCTAAATCCAAGATATACCTTAATATCTATATTGGAAGAAGACATATTAACAACCTGTGATAAGCAAATGGCATTTATTTGGTTGCTGAAAACAAAAAAGACACTAAGTACTTACTGATCAATATCAAAGACTACAACTTGCAGTATGGACTACACCTTAATGTTAAAAAAAAAAATCACAACTTTTTCAATAAGCAACAATACGATAAATGGAGAAGAGATCTCAGGTGTCAAGAACTTCATTTTACTTGAATACATAATCAACACCCATGAGAGCAGAAGTGAAGAAATAAAAGAACACATCACTTGCATATGATATTTATGAGGTTTGCATTGAGCAAATACTGTTGCACACAACTTCTTTTAAGTGCTAAAGAGCAACAATTTTGCGTTAAAAATTAAGATGTATTTGGCCCTCAGGATGGTATTTTCAATCACCTCATATGCATGTGAAAGCTAGAAATAGGTAAGCAAGACCTAACTGGAATTGATGCCTTAGAATTATGGTGTTGGTGAAAAATATTAAATATACCATGGATTGCCAGAAGGAGGAACAAGTCTGAACTGGCAGAAATACAGGCAGAATGGTCCTAAGATGTGAGGATGGAAAGACTTCACTTCACGAGCCTTAGATAGAGGTCAGGAGGGATCAGTCCCTGGCGAAGCACATCGTGCTTAGAAGAGTAAAGGTTCGGTCATAAAAAGGGTCAGTGGTCAAAGGATGAGCTCAAACATAGGAACATTTGTGGATTGGCCAATGTTGAATTCTGCTATACATAGGGTTTTTGTGAATTAGATGGTACCTAACCACAGAAAAGGTAAATGTGGAACTTCAGGCACGCTAAGATTCCCATTTGCCTTAGTTACTTAATACTGCACAAGGAATTCTTGTTGTAATTTTGCTTATCAGTAACAGTTGATGTTATTGATAATAATCTCTAGCATACAAATAATGATGGATGAAGTTTGGGTTTGCTTGCCTTTTCAATTCTCTTAGCTCAAGTTTAGTATATCCTTTCATTAAGCATCAATTTCCTTATTTGTAAAATAAAGATAATGTTGTCTGTGAGGGTGCTGTGAGCTTATATAAAATGAAGTCTACAAAATACTTAGAAGGCCTGGTGACACAATGATTTATGTGTCAGGACACTATTATTTAGATCGGTGGTTTAAACCTGAGGTTATCTGCCCTTGTAAAGATAACCCTAGCAGTGGTAGACAGCCTTTCATCTGCCAAGGGCCATTTGGATATTCATAACATCATTCATAGTCTATATTGGTCAAACATTTGATAAACTCACCCCTAATGTGTTGGGTGGAACTTCCTCTCTGATGAGGTGTGTGATGTTAGTGGGCCTTGATGGTTTCTCAGGGCCTTAGGTGGCATTGGAGCCACATGTTCCCCATCTCTGCTGGAGTAGTTCTGCTCTCTCCCGTAAGATCCCTGCGAGTTGAAACTGACTGAATGGCAGTGAATCTGAAGCACTTTGCACAGGATCTATCTCAGAGTATTCTCCAAATGTAAGGACATCTTTCTGTCATTTTTTGTAAGCTAAATCATCAACTTTTAGTCAGTGAACTCCATGTCTTTTACCTTATATGAGGATGTCTAAAAAGTTCTTAAAATCTCACCTCTTTTGTCCTTTGGAACAAACAGACAGGAAAATCAGAAGGAATAGTACAGTTATCCTCACCCAGCCCTATATGGAGTGTGACCAAACTATTAAGCCAAATTATTTTCCTTGTATAATTTGGAACTGACTGTGCTGTGTAAGGTCATGAAGGTGAGGCTTGCAGGAACCCAGTGGATCAAGTGTGGAAATGGAATTCAATCATAAAATCAACAAAGGTTCCAAGGAAAATTGCTGGGAGGAAGGTGTGCAGTATTCCCTAAGGGGGCAGACTTTCCTGAGCAGAGCCATTCCCTGGCCCTGGCCTCCTCTCAGGACAGCCCCACCTCGGTGAATGCACATTCAACAGCTCCAAATACAGCCTGGATTCATAACCCACAACTGTGCAGGAGCCTTGGGTGGGGACAGGGAATTTCCTGGCTGGCTTTGGACTTCAACAAGCAAACACCTATAAAGCCCTTTGAGGGCATAGAGAACTCTGCTCCCCAACAAGGAAGGAGCCCGCCTCCACCCATTTTGATGAATTGTCTTGAAGCAATCTCCTGACACATGGAGCTGGCACTGGCTCTGACATGTCTCTGCAGCATGGCTCACTCAGAGAAAGGATGTAAAAGTTAGAGAGGGTTCCAGCACTGATGTTCACCACCCTCTTTTGAATGTCTCTCGTTGAATTGTCTTTTGGATGAGAGAATCATCCCAATCAAGGTCTCTATTTTAAAAAGAATCCAATTCTCCCTGTGACTGCAAGGCTGCCAATTCTTCCTGGGCCTGTGAAGTTTGCCCACCCCAAAACCTCTTTTCACAGAATAATCATCCTAATGATGAGTCTTGTACTCCTGTTTCAGAAAATAGCATGGAAGGCAAATGGTTAGCAGTTGGCTCTATAATGTCCTTTAAACAAAAATGCCAACTCTGCTGAGAAGCAGCTCATTGATTTGTTATTCTGCCTAACCAAAGGGTGGACTGTCCCCAGAGTATAGGCAGTGTCAGATTTCAATCCATTGCAAAGATAACTGTTAGTTACCTTCAATGTTATGTCAACTGACCCTCACTTGAAATGATGGCACCAGCCCCTAATCTACATCAACACTGCATCCAATCACCTTCCGGGGCAGCTTTTAAACCATTGAAAAAGCTGCAAGACTTTTCTTGTACTGTGATAGGTAGGTTTGTTTTGCCAACATGACCAATAGGAGCATGTGTGATTAATAAGGTAACAGTTTGATTGGAGGGCAAAGAGATGAATGGATCGGCAAGGCCCGCCCTCTCTCTCTTGCGCTCTGATGATCAGCTTTAGCTAGTTCTCTGCCTCAGATTATGAGCTACAGTACCTGTGGGACAGCCAACCTGTGTATCATGTCCTTAGAGCTTGAGGTTCCTTGGAGACCTGCTTCACCATGCTGCTGATCTGTATATCACTTGAGCTTGAGGCTGACTGATCCTGTGTCTTGCATTGCTTGAGTTCGATATCCCATCCAGGCCTGCTTTGCTAAGCTCCTGAGCTGCTGACTGTTGGTGGCCCGCCCTGCTGTTTGTGGCCTATAGCCAGACTGCCTGCTTTGTCCTAGGGAAGACTCAGCTGTCTGCTTCCTGGGCCTTTCACCCAGCAGACCTTCTGAGTTGAAGGACTTCCAGTATATTAACTGTTCCACGGAAGTGAGTTGAACTGAGCCACTGTACTGCTGTGTGGACTAATTAGCTGTTATATTCCCTCATGCTGTATATATCTATCTGTATACATATGATGTATATGTATACACTTGCATGGCATCCCATATAGAGAAATAGATATAAATATATAATCAGAAGTGTCCTGGTTTTGTTTCTCTAGAGAACTCTGTCTAACACATGCCTTAAATACTACATAAGAGCCATATGCACCTGTGCCAACTTACCTACACAATCTACACTTGAATACACATTTAGGAAATGATCTTGCTTATAACTCAGGTATTGTATGCGCATGTAAGCTGCTTGTCAAAATCAAACTTTCTATACAATGGTGATCATGCACTAACCCACCAAAGCACTGGGCTTGGCTACCAGGGCTTGACCATCCATTGGCCAATGTCAGTTTTGCTTGTCCTTTCTTCTCATCTCTTATATTTATTTATTGTTCTCATAATGTCTCAATTTTCCCCCCCACTCCCCGAAAAGAATTTAATTTCCATAACACTTCAATAGTGAGAGAGAGCTTTACTTGGCGGCTTTGGGCTTACAAGAACGTTGGTGAACAATCAGTCTGTCTGGCAGGAAGGTACGCCCGCAAATACCACAAGGAACCAACTGGCTCTGGGCACTTGTCCAAGCAGCTTCGTTTAAAGCATCGAGATCATAGAAACCTTTGCCTGGAACATTAAAAGGAAAAAGGGAAAAAAAGAAAGGAGAAGAAAAAGGTATAAAGGATCAGTTTTCACTCTAGAGAACTGTGTTCCAGTTTTTATGGAAAATATTTTCAGGAAATACCTGTTGACTGAGACTTTTAAACAATCCTATCAGGTTTAGGGGGAAAAGAGAGTGCTGCTCACTCTTTTTGGGGGGTTAGTGAAATTAGTTATGAACCAGAGGCTTCCCATTCCTTGGACTTTAAAAGGGGGAAACTGTTTTCTGTGTTATGATATGCATTCTTCACTAATTATTAACATCTTTGCTTACACATTATCTTGCAAATATAACTTTTGGCCTTCTTTCAGTTGACTCTAAATATAAGCTTACAAAAGGGGAAAGAACATGTATTTGTATTTTCCTCTTCTGTTATTCTTCATTGGAATGTTTTTGGAGGCCCAAACTGACAGCTGAGGGTGAATTTCAGATGAATTATATCCTCAAATTTTATCAACTCTTTATGGGTATGGGCCATGGTCATAAATGCACAGATTCTTTAGGCAATTAAATTGAAGAATGCAAACATGATAGTTAATCTGATGAAAAGAAATGTCCTTAAGAAAACAACAGAGAGAGCTGAGAGATTTATAATCTTCATTGGCAGAGCACAGGAAAAATGCATATGGCTTTATTTTAGAGAAACAGTGTGGGATTTAACTTTAATAAACCTTATGTAAGTTGAATGACTCTAGTACATTAAATTGACTATGTCTTGGAATTACCCAAAATAGGCCCCCCAAAACATAGCCAGGCACTCACAAATAGAGGCTTCTATCACTGGCCCAACATATACGTGTTCATTAAAATCCAGGCCATTCTCATATGATTTCTATCTAGTGGATGACACGACCGTAGTAAGCCTTAGATTACTTGACATGTCTGATCTTAATGGTCTTTTTGTTACATGAGAAACTAAACTCCAGAACAAACGAATAGTTCTCCATTCGATAAGACAAATATCACTTTCTATATAGGATATGAATGTGTTTCTGCTTGCTTTGAAAGGTCTGTTGAAAAAGAATGACAGAGATATTCTTTTTAGTCAAATGAGTTGTTAATGCATATTCAAGAAGGCCAGAGTATTCATTGGTTCTTACTTTAGGATAGTCCATCTCTTTGTTAAAGGATTTTTTTTATAGGACTTTGACTTCAGAACTGGTATTGGATTGGGTATTTGAGGTAAATGATAACGTGAATTTTCTTTGCCTAGAAAAGAAGGGCAGTTTCAGAGATAACTGTAGCATGGAAACAAAAGGAAAATTCTGTGCAAAGGCTTTTGTAAGGACTTGCCTACTCCATCTGTGGCAAAACAGCACACGGAATCTACCAGGGCGTTCAAATCGGCTGTTTCTCCCATCTCGTCTAGACCAATCATTATGCTCAAGCAGGGGCGTATGACAAAGATCCGATAGGGAGAAATGTATGTTTGACAACAAGTGAAAATTTGGGGGCAGAGACTTTGACTGAGGGAAATAAACTCTAGGCAAATGCAGTTATTTCAACAGGTGAATGTTTTTTTTATTTTGTACTCTGTTTTCTACCAGTACACAAAGTGCCCCCATGACAAGTTTGTGGACTAGATGAGTCCCTACAACACATGAACTTTATCATAGCAATCAAGGTCCCACTTCATGGGTTGCTTTCAAAACTTCCTAGGCCTGCACCTCTAGCAGCAGTGCCTTAAACTAGTCGACTGTGTCTTTGAAGGCTATCTTCCTGCACTGCAAATCTATGGTGACCTACAGAAACCTGATGCATTAAAAGATCGTCCTTCTAAAACCAAGACTGGCTTTCCTATACAAAGGGACTCAGGGAATCAACTGAGGAAATGGCAAAGGTAGAAACAGGATAAGCAAGTCTGACTTTGCACAGCAAAAAGCATTTGTTTCGCTACTTTATTCTCACACCTTAAATGAGAAAGCACATGACTCTGATGAGCCCACACATCACGGTCTGTAAAGCTCCCATTTCAGTCAAGGTGCACAAGTGCTTTACAACATATTAATTGGAAAAGTTTTAATAAAAACAAACCCTAGACAAATCACCCTATTTCCAGCTTCTTTTGTATTATTGAAATATCTCAGTACATTTCAGTAAATTTCATAATTACAACACCAGAATGTGGATGGAAGACATCTTTTTAAAATGAGAGAGGGCACGCTAGCCTAAAGAACCCTGGTGACTGCACAGTGGGCCACGCAATAGGCTGGTAACTGCAAGATCATCACTGGGAGCCCACAATCCACTCCTGGGGAAAGAGGTGGCTTTCTGATCCTGTTAAGATTGACAGCCTTGGAAACCCCCAGGGGAGGTTCTCCCCTATCCTATTGGGTCACTCTAAGTCAAAATTGACTACATAGTAGTAACTTCGTGTTTTGGTTCAGGAGGTACTATCCAATCCACCTCAGTCCCTCCTTCCCCACCTTTTTTACACTTGTGCTAGTTTTGAAACCCACTATTAGTGGACCCTGTAAACTAGTACACCCTATAAACATTTCAACACCAAGGCAGATTCATCTTTGAAAATACGACGCTGAGTGTCCAGAAAGGTGTTTTAAGCTTCCATTGTTTTTAAGTCTTTATGTTTAAAATATATAAAAGTAATGTGTCTGTCAGTTTGTTGTATTGTGGTGGCTTGTGTGTCGCTGTGATGCTGGAAGCAACGTCACTGGTATTTCAAATGCCAGCAGGGTCGCCCAAAGTGAGCAGGTTTCAATAGAGCTACCTGAGTAAGAACCGATAACAAAGAAGGACTTGACTCCCCAATTTGGAAGACGGGGCCTCTAAAAACATTATGCATAGCTTGGGAACATTGTCAGACATGGAAGCCTAAGGAATTGAAGTAGACCCTTGTTACAGATAGTGCCCCAGCATGGGCCCCTAAGATCAGAGGTACTCTGACTGCGACTGAGGAGAGCTGATTTCTCAGAGTGGACTCAACCAGGGGGAAGTGAGTCGGTTAAAGCATCTGGGGGTGGAGCCTTCAAGATCTTCACTTGCTGATGGGCCATGAATCCAGATAAGGAGAACAGCTGCAAAAATCTGCTAGTATCCAGAACTTTGAATGTGCAAAGTACAAATTCGGAAAACTCGGAGTCCTCAAAAATTAAATGCGTCAAGATTGATATCTTGGACATTAGTGAGCTGGAATTAATTCATCTTGGCCATTTTGAATCAGAACATCATATGATTTACTATGCCTGGAATAACACAATCAAGAAGAATGGTGTAACATTCATTGTCAAAAAGGACATTTCAAAATAAATCTAAAAGTATATGCTGTCTGTGAAAAAGATATCCTCCCCCCCCTTCCAGGATATCCAATCAATTCAACTATCATTCAAATTTGTGCACCAAGCCCAAAACTGAAAAATTCTACCAATGACTTCAATTGGAAATAGATCAAACATGCGATCAAAATTCATTGATAACCATTGGCAATTGGAATTCAAAAGTTGGAAACAAAGAGGAAGGAACAGTTGCAAAATATAGACTTGATGGTAAAAATGATGCTGGAGATTGCACGATAGAATTTTGCAAGACCAAACAACTTGTTCATAGCAAACTTGTGTTGTTTTTTCAACAACACAAAGGGAGACTATGCACATGGACTTCTCCAGATGGAATCCACCGAAATAAAATTGAGTACATCTGTTCAAAGACCCAATGGAGAAGCTCAATAGCAGCTGAAATCAGGTTGGGGATGACTGTGGGATAGGCCATCAATTGCTCATATGAAAGTTCAGGATAAAGCTGAAGAAAACTAAAACCAGTCCATGAGAGTAGAAAATTGACCTCCGGTCAGTCTATCCCACTTAAATTTACAGATCATCTCATGATCAGCGGCACTGAACACTAGTGACAGAAGACCCGATGAGCTGTAGGAGGACACCAGGACCATCATTCATGAAAAAAAGTTAAAAGTCATTTTAAAAAAGGAAAGAAATAAAAGATTCAATTAAATGTCAGAAGAGACTCTAAAACTTGCTCTTAATCCTAGGGTAACCAAAGCAAATGGAAGAAATGAGTAAGCAAAAGAGCTGAGCAGAAAATCTCAAAGGGCAGCCCGAGAAGACAAAGTATTGAAATGAAATGTGCAAAGACAGAATTAGAAAATCAAAAAGGAAGCGCACACCCAGCAGATCTTAAACTGAAAGAACTCAAGAAAAATTCGCCTCAAATTGCAACCTTGAAAATACTGAATGATGCAGGAAGCATCGAGGGAAGATGGAAAGAATACACAGAATCGCTGAACTCGTCGGTATTCCACCCTTTTAGGAAGTTCAAGCTGCCCGTTCCCAAGAAAGGTGACCCAACAGAATGCTCAGACTACAGAACAATAGCACTGATATCACATGTGACTAAAATTTGGCCAAAGACCATACAAAGACGGTTGCAGCTGTACATTGACGGGGAACTGCTAGTGGGTCAGACTGAATCCAGAAGAGGACAAGCAAAAGAAGATATCATTGCTGGTATCTGATGGATTTGGGCTGAAAGCAGAAAATACCAGAAAGAGGTTTTTTTGTGTTTTATTGACTATGCAAAGACAATTGACTGTGTGGACCACAATAAACTATAGATAACGTTGAGAATAGGAATTCCAGAACACTTCATTGTGCTCATGTGAAACTTGTACATGGCTCAAGGGACAGTTTTGTGAATGGAACGAGGGAATGTTGCGTGGTTTACAATTAGGAGAGGTGTACAGCAGGGTTGTATCCTCTCACTATACGTGTTCAGTCTGTATACTGAACAAAACACCTCAGAGAAGCTGGCTTATATGAGGAAGAATGTGGATCATGATTGGAAGAAGGTTTTTTTAAAACAACCTGCAAAATGCAGATAACATAACCTTGCTTGCTGAAAGTGAGCAGGACTCAAAGCACATGGGGATGAAAATCAAGGACTGCTGCCTTCCAGGTGGATTACAACTCAGTGTAAAAAAGACCCAAATTCTCACAGCGGAACCAATAAGCAACATCATGATCAATGCAGAAAAGATTGCAGTTGTCAAGGATTTTGTCTTACTTGGATCCTCAATCAATGTTCCTGGAAGTAGCAGTCAAGAGATCAAAAGATGATTTATGTTGTGTAAATCTGCTGCACAAGAAGAATGAAGAACGAGGATGCTACTTTGAGCACTAAGTTGAGGACCCAAGACATAATATTCTCCATTGCAGCGTATGCATGTGAAAGCTGGACACGGAATAAAGGAGACTGAAGAGAAATCAATGCATTTGAATTGTGGTGCTGGAGAAGAATGTCAAAAGCACCACAGACCCCTGAAAAGGCAAATAACTCTGTGTTGGAAGAAGTACGGCCAGAGCGTTCCTGGGAGGCACGGACAGCACGGCTTCATCTTTCACACTTTGGGCATGTTGTCAGGAGACACCTCTCCCTGGGGAGGGACATTATACTTGGTAAAGTGGGTGGGGGGGGATGGGGATGAAGAAGAGGGAGGCCCTTGATGGCCTGGGTTTACACAGTGGCTGCCACAACGGGCTCAGGCCCAGGGATAGTTGTGAGGATGGCGATGGCGCAGGACCGTGTAGGGTTTCATTCTGTTGTTCATAAGGTCGCTGTGGGTCAGCACCTACTCGGTGGCACCTCACAACTTTGGGAAGCTTTGAGTCAGTTCCCATGGGTCCTTCTGCTTGCACCGCTTTGCCAGGACAGAGTGAGGTTTTATCTCCGTATCTGAAGACCGCACTACGGACAATCATTCCAGAATGTTTCTTCCTAGTTGTCTAGATTCCAAGAAGTCAATGTTGCTGATTTCAATGGTTTGAACAAGAAAGCAAGGAGTCCTTCACTCCTGTAACTGTAGAAAGAAAAGCCTCCCTTGTAAAGTGCTTCCCCATCTCCTTTGCTCCAGGGACTTACCAGTAATGGTCCTGACTTCTGGCTTTTTAGGTTCTGGTCTCCTGAGCTCCTTGGGCAGCAAGTTGTTTTCATTGTGCCATTTTTTCAGGCACTGTGGTTCATGGATGCTTATAGATTTTGTTCCATATTCGCGACCACAAATGTAGCAAACAATTGTTGGTGGACGCCTTATCATTGCTGGCTGTATATGATACGAATAGCAATTAGACAAAATTCAACTTTTAAATTAACGTTCTAAATTTCAATGCATTTTAGTTAATTGTAAAATTGCGGTATTTCTTTCTCTCTCTCTCTTTTTAAATCAGTTAGTGTGAGAAAGTCATTTTGAAGTACTTCCACCATCCCGTGTTCAAGTGGTTCCCCCTCATTTCAGAGAGCCATTTGGCCTATCAGATCCTATTTACCTGAAAAAGTAGAAATTTACCCACAATCAATATTTGATACCTGTGAGTTAATTTTTTAAGTAAAAATATACTTTTAAAAGAAAAAAGGAAAGAGAGAAAAGAATTACACTACCAATAAGGGATTTCTTGAGTATGATATTTGTATAACAACTTGAAAGATAAAAATAGAAAAGGGCATTCTAAACTAATTTCCATATAAAAAATAAAATTTTAGGGTTAGGCAGAAACAGAATTGGAGCTAATTAAATAAAAGATATATAGCAAAGCTAGATTATTTTCTGAAAGTACAGCAGGAATTTCAAACCAAAATACAAACATGAATATTAGAGTTTACCCACCCGTATCTAAAATAGCAAAGCTTGAGAATTGGCCAGTCCGTTTAGACATTTAGGTGGAAGAGACCAGCTATATTATCTGAGTGATTAGGGTAGAGGTGGGGAGGGATGTGGGTTGGGGAGGATGATAGGATAAAAAGAAAAGCTCACCAGAATTTTTCATATTAGTGTTGTCTAAAATGAATTTTGTTATAAAACAATACATCGGGCATGAATCCTCCTGTCAGTAAGATCAGACTCTACTCCACCAATATGGCTGAGATAAGAAGTAATAAGTGTCGTTGGAGAGCTGATAAAATATACTGCTGTTGTGCTTGCTCACAGGCCCACACGGCAACAACTTTCTACTGCAAACATCTGTGACTCTCTGCCTTTGTTGATCTGAAGCTGGCTCGACCCACAGGTAGAACTGCTAGAATACTGGGGAGTCAGGGGGTGGGGTGGGGGGAGGAACCAAACTCAATGCCATTGTTTCAATGCTGACTCCAAGCAAACCCCTGTAGGTTTCAGAGCCTGTAACTCCCGGATTGTAGATAGCGGATACCAATCGCAGCCCAACACGCATACAACCACTACACCGCCATGCTGAATCCCCTCCACGAGAGTTATATCCAAGCCTTCTTCAGACATAGACAGGGTTGACAGCACCACTTTTACCAACAGCCTGACAAGCAAAAGAGGTGACATTTTCTGGGTAAAGACATTATACATAGGGAAATCATCTGAAATTGTAGTTCAAGGTTAGTCTGGCGGCAATGTATCCGATTGGCTGGCAGGTGCGCACCTTGAGGGGAGCTTGAGCATTCATGATACTAGGGATAAAGGAAGGGCGGGTGCAAAAGACCTTCAATAGTGTCTTCTGGGTGGCAGGGAAGATGATGTTGTCATTTACAGAAAGAGGGAAAAACCTAAGTTGGGCCAGGAGAAAAAGTGGGCCCAGTTTGGGGTTTGTTAAGTTTGACATACTAATAGAATTTAAATGTGAATCAGCCTGCTCTAAAATGAAACAGACTTGGAATTCAGTTCAAAATTTGTAAACTATTCACATAGAAAGCATGTGTAAAATATGAAAATTCCAAAAAAGGAAGTATATAGAGAGTTAAACAATAACAGCAACAAAAATTTTGTCGCGGGCAACCCTACAGAACAAGGTAGAACTACTCGGTGGGTTTCCCCAGGCTGTGGATCCTTACTGAAGCCAGGTCAGGCTCTGTCAGAGCGGCTGCTGGCTACGAACCACTGACATGTAGGGTAGCTGGTGAGAGTTTAACCACTGTACTACCTGGGCTCCTTATGTGGGGATCATCTATAATAAAGAGATTAGGTCAGGAAAATTGCACCTAGAAGAAGGCGAGGCTTGTACCTAGAAAACCAAACAAACAAACAAGCTCAATGACACGGAGTACATGCCGACTCATAGCGATCCTATGCCAGAACAGGGTAGAACTGCTCCCGTGAACTTCCGAAACTGCTATCTCTTTATGGGAGTAGAAAGCCTCATCGTTCTCCTGAGGGACTAGCTGATGGTTTCCAACTAGCGACCATGAGGATCGCAGCCCAACTTGTAACCACTACACAACCAGGGCTCCTTACAGATTATGTAATGGAGAAAAACACACACTGAAAGATTAGAAGGGAACTGGAGCGATAAGTAGAGTTGAAGAAATGTCTGTTTTGCATTGTTTTTAGCATAGAGATGCCTCAGAGGTACATGGATTTATATCCATTTGTGCAGAGGAAGACTCAGCCCAAGAACTCAGCCCTGGGGAAGACTCAGAAGACAGGAGAAGATGGGGTCAGGGCCATAACCAGAAATGGTAGCCTTTGAAGAAAAGGGGAGAAGAGAGAAATAGAGAGAGGTTATTGT